GGTAGTTGTGCGTAGTTACGTATGTTTGGGGCATTCTGGCAGCAGGCACGCTGAATGAACACCTGGGAAGTCAAACCTGGCGTGGCCCATTAGGACACAGACCTGAGTGTTCAGCAGAAGTCTTACTGACTTTTATTAGCAAAACACTGAGTGTCAGTCTTTCCTATTTATTTTTTCTTTTAAGTCCATGTGCTTTTCAATTCCTAATATTCTTTCAAAAGTCCTTTGCACAGAAAGATGTAGGATGGCACATAACTCAATCCCTATCATGAGTGCCGCTATTGTAATGACCTAAGCATATTTCAAATTTTTTCAACCTCTCATTTCTTTTTAATACCTATAAACGTCTGCAGTGTAAGTTTTAAAACTTCAGTTGGGTGTTAGGCTCCTGGGCTTGCCCAGATCTGTTTTTGTCGTCTGTATTTCACTTGGTCTCTGGGGACAGAGATAATTTGTCCACCTGTTCACTGAATTAATCTGAGGAGAACTGGTAAAAGCATGATTATTAATTTTTCTTCAAAATTTATGTCCCTTCTATTGATTTGAGAATTAATAGTAAAGAGGTAATAAATGCCTCCTTCATGAGGTGGGCAAATTACTAGAAAGCTACCTGAGTTATTTGTAAAGATGACAAAAACAGGTGAATTGTCAAAAAAAATTAAATTTGATTTATGGTGTGAGGTAAATGTCTAAGATATATTTGCTCTTCTCTGGAAAATAGTGTGCTTTCATTTCAAAAGATACTAAACTTTAAAGTTACTAACTTTTTGTCCTAACCGTGGGACCAAGTACTAACTCTTGGTCCTGTGTAAAAATCCATTCATTCTTTCTACTCAGGTCTTATGATGCTTTAATTCATTGGTTTGGGCATTCATCCAGAGAACTCAAAGTTTCATTTTTAGAAAGAAGTTATTGTAAATAAAACTTGTTAAAGTCATACTGTAGAAATAGCTATAGAGGAATTATAGTGAGGTTTTTAGAAAGAGTTTGTAGTATTATTTATGTGAATAGCTTGTGCTTTAAAAATATTTAGTTACAATTGTGTCATTATTTCTTCAGTACTAGTCCCCATCCTTATAGAATAGTTTGGAGTTACATGATTATGAAAAACTGGTAGAACTCTTAGCTGTTATTAACATTAAAATGGTTCTGGCATAGGAATTTATAGGTAAACAAAGAGAAACCTAATTGTTGATCATCTTAAACGACTTTGAGCACCCTCAGCCTTTAAATCTTCCTACAGCATTTGGTATATTCAGAATGAATCAACATGTAATCAGAAAAAAACCACAACCAGTTTCCTAGACTTTGCATATCCATATGCATGCAGCTCCCACTATGTGATTTAATTTTTGCACACAATAAAAATTTATTCAGATGTCAAAAGATAGATTACTCTGGGTATTAAACTAGTTAAAGTGATGTTGACTTGTACTATAAAAATATGCTTATGAATAAGTATATCATCTTAAGCAAAAGCTCAAAAAAAGAAAAACAGAGAAAACAGCTGAGAGGACTAGCTAAAGTTACACTGGAGTTGGTATTCTTTGATTACTAATTGCAGGGAGTGTGCATATGTATTAACCTATTCATCTATTTGCATTGCATTTGTCACTTAAGTTACTAGGAGCTTTTTGATGGGCGTTCCTCCCTGACAGCAAGCAAAGCAAAATGTAATAAAAAGAAATCCTTTTTTTACTTTAAATTCTAGAACTCTGGGACCAAGTGTAAAGAATCTGTATATTTGGTTTACAATTTTTTTAAAGCCAGGGTCAATACATGGATTTTTATATCTTGTTTTGAACTTTTTTTTATCTGGGAAAAATGGCTATGAAGCTTGAGACTTTTAAATGAAAACCATTCCCCCAGAATTCCATTTAAACCTAGGGCAACCATCCTGGAGTTTCAGCAAAGCATACACAGGTCTAGGTATTGATTCTCTAACAATAAATTCTGAGGTACTTAAGACTCTTTCCAATAAAATTTTATGTTGTGTGCTTTTCTGGACAGCCTACCAACATGGCGACTGTTTCCCCATAGAGGGTGAATTGCAGCTGGTTATAATTGATTCTAAAAAGTATATCAGCATCCCCCCAATATCAGTCTGCAAACTAGTTACTTCATAATCATCTGCGGGAATTTTAAAATAATAGAGATTCTTGAATTTGTCTTTTAGAGATTCTATACTTTCTTGATTGGAGAGTAGGTCTTGGATATGGTCTTAGAGTCTGTTTTTCGTTTTGATGGCTTTTGAATTAAAAATTATTCCCAGGTGACTCTGATGTAATGCTAGGTTCAGGAATCAGATAAGTGATACTAAGATTTCACTGAATATTCAAATGATATTTATATTGGACAGTTCTTTCTGAGGCATTACTGATTAGTAA